TGACAAGAAGATTTTTTAGGAAAGGCAGTTTTAAGGCAAAATCTTACTTTGAAAGGGCAAATAGCTCACTTCCTGTTGGATTTAGGTCAGGGGTGACAATGCGTGATTTTTAGGTCTTCATGAGACGAACACGGCAGTTTTGGTTTCATGTTTCTATGAGTTCCTACAGGCCGCAGCGGCCATTTTTGTGTGCCTAGGTGGCACTAGAAAGCCCATTTTGGCACTTTAGGGGTTAATTTCACGATTTTCTAAAATTTTTCACCGGTTCTGATGTGCGTGCCAATTTTGGTGATTTTTTGAGCATGTTTAGGGGGTCAAATTCCAGTTCAAAGAGGCGGCGGGAGAAAAAAAGAAAGAATAAACGCATCAAAAACAATAGGGTCCTCGCCTTTGGCGAGGACTGCTCTGTGCTCTGTGAGCAGTCCTCTGCCTCCGGGCTCGGTCCCTAATAATAATAATAATAGTAAAAAATCCTTGCATTTCAATAGGGTCCTCGCACCGCTAGGTGCTCGGGCCCTAATAATAAAAAATCCTTGTATTTCAATAGGGTCCTCGCACCGCTAGGTGCTCGGGCCCTAATAACAATAATTAAAGCAGTGATGAACAGGCCCTCGCACCTTCACGCAACTCGGGGGGGCTGGCAGGACGCCTTCTGATGTCAAACTTTCTGTCAAACTTAGACATCGCATGCAGGAGTGACTTTGCATATCCCTGATACAGTGCTGGAATGACATATTTCACATTTTGTATCACTTCCTCTTTCCACTAGAGGGAGTTGGAGAGCGCAGTAATTATACATCATGTTTTTATACATCAAATATACACCATAGCATTTAACTTTCAGATAAATCAAAAGATAAGTGTTTGAGACCTACTTCCTGTCACCACTAGGTAGCACTATGAGTGTCAGGAAATATGGTCATATAAATGTTTTCAGGGCAGAACTAATATGAATCATGTGAAATTTGATGGAGATCAGAACATTTACGGTAACAATATTACAATTTCCTGTTTAATGGCGAGACCTCAAAATTAAACCCTCTGCAGCATGTATAGACACTAATGATATGTCATGTTATGTGACATGGTGGTGTGTATATCAAATACACACCACAGCACTGAAATTTAAGGTGAATCCAAAGATAAGTGTCTGGTAAGAAGTACTTCCTTTCACCACTAGGTGGCGCTATGACTATCACGAAATATAATAATATAAATGAGTTCAGGGAAGGACAAATATAAATCATGTAAAGTTTGGTGGAAAACGGACCATTTACACCAAAATTATAGCAATTTCATTTTTAATGGCGAGACATCAAAAATAAACCCTCTGCAGCACGCGTAGACACTAATGATATGTCATGTTTGTGTACATCAAATAAACACCACAGCACTGAAATTTCAGGTGAATCCAAAGATAAGTGTCTGGTAAGAAGTACTTCCTTTCACCACTAGGTGGCGCTATGACTATCACGGAATATTGTCATATAAATGTGTTCAGGGTAGGACAAATATGAATCATGTCAAGTTTGGTGGACAACGGACCATTTACTCCAAATTTATAGCAATTTCCTTTTTCATGGCGAGACATCAAAAGTAAACCCTCTGCAGCACGCGTAGACACTAATGATATGTCATGTTTGTGAACATCAAATATACACCACAGCACTGAAATTTCAGGTGAATCCAAAGATAAGTGTCTGGTAAGAAGTACTTCCTTTCACCACTAGGTGGCGCTATGACTATCACGAAATATAATAATATAAATGAGTTCAGGGAAGGACAAATATAAATCATGTAAAGTTTGGTGGAAAACGGACCATTTACACCAAAATTATAGCAATTTCATTTTTAATGGCGAGACATCAAAAATAAACCCTCTGCAGCACGCGTAGACACTAATGATATGTCATGTTTGTGAACATCAAATAAACACCACAGCACTGAAATTTCAGGTGAATCCAAAGATAAGTGTCTGGTAAGAAGTACTTCCTTTCACCACTAGGTGGCGCTATGACTATCACGGAATATTGTCATATAAATGTGTTCAGGGTAGGACAAATATGAATCATGTTAAGTTTGGTGGACAACGGACCATTTACTCCAAATTTATAGCAATTTCCTTTTTCATGGCGAGACATCAAAAGTAAACCCTCTGCAGCACGCGTAGACACTAATGATGTCATGTTTGTGTGCATCAAATATAGACCACAGCACTGAAATTTAAGGTGAATCCAAAGATAAGTGTCTGGTAAGAAGTACTTCCTTTCACCACTAGGTGGCGCTATGACTATCACAGAATAATGTCATATAAATGTGTTCAGGGTGGGACAAATATGAATCATGTCAAGTTTGGTGGACAACGGACCATTTACTCCAAATTTGTAGCAATTTCCTGTTTCATGGTGAGACATCAAAAGTAAACCCTCTGCAGTGTGTGTAGATACTAATGATTTGTAACGTTTGTGTACATCAAATATAGACCACAGCATTGAAATTTCAGGTGAATCCAAAGATAAGTGTATGATAAGTACTTCCTTTTGACACTGGGTGGCGCTATGACTATCACGAAATATGATTATGTAAATGAGTTCAGGGCAGGACCAATATCAATCATGTGAAGTTTGGTGGGTATCGGACCATGTACGCCAAAGTTACAGCATTTTTGTTTTTCATGGCAAGACCTCAAAATTCAACACTCCGCAGCAGGCACGCCGTTCAGCATTGGGCAGATCCTGTGATAACTTTTGGTCACAAAGTAGTCAGGCTCACATAAAGCAAGTTTGGAGCAAATCTCATTAAATCTGTAGAACAAGTTCTTCAATTTACAAGCCCTGGAAATGGGCAAAAATGCACAAAAGTGGCACAAGTAAATTCAAAATGGCAGACTTCCTGTTGGGTTTGGAGCATGGCTCCAAGAGGCTTTTTTGTACGTAATAGTGTTACAGATGCCTACCAAGTTTCATACATGCAGGTCAAACCAGCTTTGGGGGCTGCTTAATTGAAATATTCTAGGGGGCGCTGTTGAGCCATCTTGGTGCATCAAAGCACAAAAGTCACATCAGACAACAGGACTTGCGACCCGTGATGTGTATGCCACGTTTGGTGAGTTTTCAAGCATCCCTTGTCCCTTCAAAACAACATCGTGATTAATGGTGAACAAGGCGGTGCCACGGTGACAGCGTTTGATGAAAACTCAAAAGCTTAATTTTTAAGTATCATCAAGGTCTAAGGATTTAGACCAGCAAGTTTGAGGTGGGTCTGATTAAGCTGCCAGAAGAGGGACATCAAAGAATGTATAAAGTAACTTTCTGTTGCCAGTAGGTGGCGCTATGGCGGTGATTCAAAATTCCTCTGTAGATGTGTTCAGGGCTGGACTGTCATCATGTGTGTGAAGTTTTGGCAAGATATTCCCACGTGGAGTCAAGTTACAGCAACGTTTATCATCACGGCGAAACATCAAAGTTCGCCGCCAGGCCATGGCCACGCCCTTCGACGAAAACTCAGTTTCCACAATGAAGCGTCATCAATGTCTTATGACTTTTCTGACCAAGTTTGAGGTGGATCTGGACAGTTCAGTAGGAGATGTACATTAAAGTCTAAAACATGACATTTCCCGCTGCCAGTAGGGGGCACTATGTTTATCTATAATTCCTGACATGTAGATGTGTGCAGGGCGGGACTGTCATCAATCCTGTGAAGTATGGGCAAGATTAGTATGGGGCCGTTAGTGGCCGTTTTGGTAAGGAAATGGAGCCAGGGCGAGTGAGACAGGATCTGGAATTCGATGGATGTGCGTTTCCGTAAAAATAAAAGCACCAAGCTAATAAAAATGCAGTGAAACTTTTAATTTTAATAATATAATTTACAAGAAAAGCCCCAAGCCATTAAGTTAATCGATTTTCTTACACCCCTCATCACCCCAAATCGATGGTGCGCCAGAATTTAAAGTTTTACTATGGTGAACACTTTTAGTTTGGTGAATTTGGTGAATACCGCATCCGCTCCCTAGACCGGAACGAGAATCCAGACAAAATTCAGAGTGAATAGACACCAGACTCTTCGCTTGAAGAGCCAAAGCTAACAAAACAAACAAAACACTCATCTAAAACAAAACAGCAGCTGATTGTGTCTGAGCAGGTACTACAATTACCCTGATGTCCTCCAATCAGTTTGGAACAATTCACCACTACAAAAGAAGCAAATACAATGTTAATACATTTTGTGGTTTGTGGAAGTTAAACATTGTTTAAAAAGTTAACAAACCTCAAATCAATTTCAATGGACACCAAGACGACCAGGCCATCCGTGCAAAACAGGCAGTAAACTATTTAACACAAACACAATGTAGCTTCTGTTAAAATAAAGGTCACTACTCAAAGTAAAACAGGCTAAAACGACCTCCAGGCCACATTACCCACCTCAGAGACATGACCATTTGGCAGCCACCAGGCACAGACAAGGAGAAAGGCAGCCTTCATGCCACAGGTGTCTTAAATAGGCTCTGCCAATTTAGGGGGGTTAGGAAAGGGGAGGAGTT